ATTTCATTTTGCAGAATCCCTCGGAGGAGTTTGGACTTGTTCTTTGGGCCGTTAGAACAGGGATCTGAACATCCATTGCTTGCGCACAAATGTGTCAAAAGGACATTTAATGGATTCGGTTCTCGTTTGAGCCTGGCTATTTTGCAAGTGTGTTTTAGTCCCTCTGGGCAAGCAGAAAAGGGATTCTGGGTCCACTCAGGTATATATGCTGAGGGAGGAACTTCCTTTTTGACAAAGGCTGTGACGTGTGGGCTGAGGATAGGTTGGTTACTATAGTTCATATGTGACTGATAAATACTACTACAGCGATCAGTTCAAGATCAGTTGTGTGTAGTGGTTAAGTTCATGGGCCTTGGAATCAGGCAGACCTGGATGTGAGTCTGACTCTGCCCTTACTAGTTCTGTGACCTTAGGGAAGTTATTTAATCTCTCAAAGCTTTGGCTTCATCATCTGTGAGGATTAAATGGGGTAATACATATAAAGTGCTTAACACATAAACATAGTAATAAGCATTGCATAAATGTTAACTTTAATGATACTGATGATGATGATAATATATATCTGAGTAGCTGCTACTCATACATTCCCTTTATTCCCACATTCGTTCATGGAACAAACTGCAGATGTTGCTAGCAATGGTGTCTGTGAACGACTGGAGGCTTTGGGGAGTCTTCAAATCTCCTAAGATCCTATGGAACCTTTTGTGCATATGTGTGTTTTCTGGAGAGAATCTCAGTGATTCTTCACCCCAAAAAGGTTAAAAACAAAGTCTACAGTGTACTGAAGACTTGGTGTTAGGGATACACAACTGATCGAGACTGTCTTTCTTTTCAAAGAGTTCCCAGAGGCGAGGCAGACAGACTTACAGACAAGATGTTGCCAAATGGCCTGTGAAGGGTGTAAGCGACAGAGGCCACATAGAAGGCAGAGCTGGTGAGGCAGCTTCATGTGAGGAGGGAGCAGATGGTCAACCCGAGTCAGAAGATCCAGGCAGAAAGAATAAGATGTAGAAACCCAGGCCGCAAAACAGTAAAATGTCATATACTTAAATATCAGAAGTAATCTGGTGCTGACAGTGCAAGTGACCACCATGTAAGTGGCCCAGCCTCAGGCACACCTGTTGGCACAGGGGAGTTTGGGAAGCATCTTTCAGGCCAAGCTTGGAGCTTAGGCTTGATCTCGTGGTCCGTGGGACGACATTGGGGAGTTGTAAACAAAAGAGTGACATGGTCAGAGCTGTTTTTTAAAAAAACTTCCTCTGTGTGTCAAGTAGACTGGAAGGGGAGCCCCTGGTGGGGGTGGGGGGAAGTTTGGGGGAGGGAGAGGGTGTCAGGGTGATGCTCAGGATTGTGGCTTCTAATTTTCCTGTGGGCCTAGGACCCATGGAACACCTGACTAGATATCACTGGAGACCTGAGAGCAATATGTCTAATTTTTCCTGGTCCTAGAAATTGATAGTGTTATGAGAGGTGTAAGGGTTACACATGACATACACGTATGGACCGAGGGGGATCAGGCAGGAGATCGCTGTGGTCTGAAGTGGTTCTGAAGCTCTCTGTGTCATTACGTCTGATGGGCAGCTGTTAGTTTCCATCTTACTTGACCACTCAGCCATAGCCATATTCACACTGTGCACCACTCCCTTCCACTCGACACACTTTCCCTCTCGCCTTTCCTGGCTTGTTCTCTCTCTCTCGCTCTCTCTCTCTCTCTCTCTGTCTCTCTCTGTGTTCCCTAATTTAGAGTTACCAACAACTTATTATGGATATTAATTACAATTAATTTGACATCTATTTGAAAAGGCCTAATCCTTCTGTCTTTGAGAGAAGGCCTATATAAAGTCTGCTCCGCAGGTTCACCCTCCTCTCCCATGCCCGCTGTTCCTGCGTTCCGGCACTGGGTACAGTCCAGCGCGGTCACTCTTAGTGTTGGACAAATGTATGACATGTATCCACCATTATAGTACCCTACAGAGTAGTTTCACTGCCCTAAACTTCCTCCGTGCTCTACCTATCATCCCTCCCTTCCCCCTAACTCCTAGTTAACTACTGATCTTTTTACTGTCTCCATAGTTTTGCCTTTTCTAAAATGTCACGTAGTTGAAATCATACAGTGTGTAGCCTTTTCAGATGGGCTTCTTTCACTTAGAAGTATATATCTAAGGCCTCACCCTACCCCCCGCCCATGTATTCTTATGGCTTGATAGCTCATTTCTTTTTAATGCTGATTAATATTCCACTGTCAGGATGTCCCGCAGTTTATTTATTTATTCACCTACTGAAGGGTATCTTGATTGCTTCCAAGTTTTGGCAATGATGAAGAGAGAGAGCTGTTATAAACATTTGTGTGCAGGTTTTTTGTGGACATAAGTTTCCAACTCATTTGGGTTTTATACCAATCGTTTATACTAACAATCAATATCTTAGCAATATTAAGTCCTCTAATCCATGAACACGGAACTATTTTTTACTTATGTGTGTATCTTTAATTTCTTTCAGCAACATTTTGTAGTTTTCAGTGTACAAGTATTTTGCCTCTTTGGTTAAGTTAATTCTTAAGCATTTTGTTTTAATTTTTTGATGCTATTGCAAGTAGAATTGTTTTATTAATTTCCTTTTTGGATTGTTCATGGTTCATACAGAAAAACAATTGACTTTTGTGTATTGATTTTATATCCTTCAGCATTGCTAAATTTGTTTATGATTTCTAATAGTTATTTTTGTGTATATAATCTTTAAGGTTTTTTTTTTAACATGTAAGATCACATCATATTAAAACAGATATATTTTACTTCATCCTTTCCAATTTAGATACCTTTTATTTCTTTTTCTTGCCTGTTGTTCTGGCTAGAACTTCCAATACTGTGCTGAATAGAGGCGGAGAAAATGGGCATCCTTGTCTCATTCTTGATTTTAGAGGAAAAGCTTTCAGTCATTTGCCATTGAATACGATGTTAGCTGTTTAAGCTATGTCTAAAAGATCTTGAAAGGAGATGGGGTTATGAAGTCCTGTGACCTATTCGAAATTGTGTTTCTCTGTTTTCTTAGCATCTAGCACAGTGCCTGGCACATAGTAATTATTGAATGAATGGATAAAAAAATAAAAGCAATTTTTCAAAATGGAATGAGCTAAAGCCGCTTGTGAATGAAGGGGGTCGATTTAGGTTTCGTGAGAGTGGCAAAGATCGAAGGGTGACCAGAAGGTGGAGTCATCAGTTGTCCACTGACATGGAATAGGTACTGGTCTCACACTCAGAGCAGCAGAGTCATTGGATCTTGGTAAACTTTGCCTGGATAGTCCGCTTTTTAGAGCTATCTCCCTGGTTATTTTTCCTTTATCTATATCAGCACTTAACAACTAGAAGAAAATAACATATGTCATATCTCTCTGTATTTATGACTGCTGAATTAATGATTTCGGTCCACCGGATGCAAAGAAAATGAGTGAAACGCTATAAATTATAGATGTAAGTATTAATGCTAATAGAGTGTGTAAGATGTGCCTCACTCTGACACAGCTTTGAAATAATGTGAATGATTTAAAGCACCTGAGTCCGTTTGCCTTCATTTTTATTTGGAATAGTTAGAAGCACCGACTCACCGCCATTTCATTAGTAATGCTGTGTTCTTCCATTGGAACATAGCCTTCTCAACTTGGAGTAGATAAAAATTCTCATCAACTATAATCTGAGAGTGGGAAAATCAAACGTTTTTATCTTATGCGTCGGCATTTCTCTTCCTCTGAACTTCAAACAAGCAGGTTCTAAATATGAACTAACATGTCTTCACTTATTTCCTTTGACAAGGGTCATCTGAGTTACAGGTTAAAGAAATATGTTCTGTAAATGCAGAATTTGATAACTTTAACAATTCTGTAAATGTGAAACTTGAGCAAATTTGATCGATTTGGTATCCTAAGCTTTGTGGAAAGAGCAGGCCCTTTTGTCTCTGTGAGGGGAACCCTGTAGCTTGTGCAAAAATGGGGTGTATCCTCAAGATACAAGGCTATCTCACAGGATCCACGGACCGGAGGACAGCTAGGCTTAGGAGGGTCTGGGCCTAAGCCCTAGAAGCCCGAGGAACTGAGGTCACTCAGTCTGTGTCTGCAAGGCCGCAGGGTCTCATCTCTACCTTTTTCTCTACACCTGCTCCTTTCTTCACTCTCAGCAGATGGGCTGCCTTTGCTTCTCTGTGCTCGGCTCTGGCTTTTTATCACTTCCAGTTCAAAGGCCAGCAGGGGCTGCCTGATCTCCGGTTTCCAAAGGGAGAATCTGGTTCTCTCATCTTGAGTCAGATGACCACTCCTGGTTTGTTCATGTTCTTATTTAAAAAGTCTTTATTGAATGCCAGGAACTGTTTTAGGCCCTGGGGATGTATCCTGCCCCCATGGACCTTGTATGTATGTGTGTGTATGAGAGAGAGAGAGAGAGAGAGACAGACAGACAGAGGATGAATGTAACTCTAAGTTTCCTGTAGTCAGTTCTTCAATCCCTTCTTTGGA